AGTTTCCCGATACTGTCAATCCAAAAAGTAGTATTTTTTTAGAATCTGGTACTCCACAACCCCCCCTCCCCCCACTTTCCGATGGGGTTGGTTTGTGTTACTCAGTCTGGTCTCAGACTCCTGAGTTCAAGTAGTCTTCCCATCTCAGCCTCTCAAGTAGCTGGGGCTATAGTTGCATGTCACCTTTCCTGGCTATTCACAACTATTTTTACTGATCTATGTGGTGTGTTTTTTCTGAATGTTTTTATACTTTCACATATACTTCTTTCTTTCCCTGAGTATCATGTTGTCTATATTATTTCACTAGCAACTATTTATATATCTAAGACAGATATAATATAAACCTCTGTATATTCATAAACCTAGGCTCTACTTCTTAATTAAAGTACTGCCTCTTCTAAAATTTACTTTTGTGTTACTAGGATTTTATTCAGTGCCACCCATGCATTCACTCGTTAAATATTTGTTGAATAAATAACATTTGCTTGTGGAATTGAGCTCACTTAAATGCTTTGAATTTCCAAACTCTTTAGAACTACTTAAAATCAAACTTGGTATCAGCATACTTTATAAGTACTGCTTACGTAAGTTACTTTTTGAGATCCTTGTCTTGGTGATTGTGAAAGGGAGAAAAAGGTAAGTGACTGATATTTTGGTAGGTATGTGTTTTCGGTTTGCATGCCTGAAGTAATATACAAAGTCTAATAGATTTGGCTATGTCTAAATATTCCATCAGGTCTAATTTGCACTTACACATAGGAGTACTTATCTTAAATTCTTTGTTTCTGAATGGCCCACATTTTTTAGTAGGTAATCCTGTTTTTTTCTCTTTATTTTTAATAAGCAGGATTGCTTCACAGTGGAGGGAGAAGATTTGAGGCATGACTTTGAACGCTTACAACTGGCCATGGAAATGGTAGGATTTCTTCCCAAGACACGAAGACAGTGAGTTTGTTTATTGTAATCTTATACACCTGGTAGAGAACAAATGATATGTCTTTGAAAGATTTTCGGCCGGGCTTAGTAGCTCAGCCAGTAATCCCAGTACTTTAGGAGACTGAGGCGAGTGGATTGCCTGAAACTGCGGGTTCGAGACCAGCCCAGACAAATTGGTGAGATCTCGTTTCTACAATAACTAAAAAAATTAGCTGGTGTGATAGCACGTGACTGTAGTTCCTGATACTTGGAAGGCTGAGGCGGAAGGATCGTCTGAGCTGAGCCAGCAGATCGACACTGGGATGGCAGTGAGTGTGCCACCACACTCCAGCCTGGGCAACAGAGTGAGATTCCAACTCAAAAAAAGAAAGAAAGATTTCTCTCCCTTACTGTTTGTTTTTTTTTTTAATTTGGAGTCTCACTCGGTTGCCCAGGCTGGAGTGCAGTGTGGCACGCTCATGGCTACCTCAGCCTCAACCTGCTGGGCTCAGATGATCCTTTTGCCTCAGCCTTCCAGATAGCTCAGACGACAGGCAAACGCCACCACGCCCAGCTAATCTTTTTGGTTTATTGTAGAAACGAGATCTTGCCATGTTGCCCAGGCTGGTTTTGAACCCCTGGGGTCAGGCATATCTTGCCTCAGTCTCCCAAAGTGCTGGGAATACAGGCATAGGCCACCATGCTAGGCCTCTGTCTTTATTATTATTATTATTATTATTATTATTACTTAAAAATACAACCCTGACTCTCACCAAAAAAAAAATAGTCACTTGTAACTGTTTTCCAAGGGGGAAGTAGTGTTGATGAATATGTCAGATCTAATTGTACTGTCAGTTTTTAATCTCATGATTGATGAACTCATGCTTGGAGTAGGAGAATATCAGTTCTTTTTTCTTGTTGCTTGTGTTTCTATCATTTCTATCATTGGTAGAACTTTTTCTTTTTTTTTTTTTTTTGAGTTGGAGTCTCACTCTGTCGCCCAGACTGG